GATGATGTGAAGAGAGCAGCCATGCTCGTAAATGACAATCCCAACGGGGCAGGTGATGAGAGCGAGTATGAAGAAGAGGAGGAAGAGGAAGATATTGACGACATGTTCGCCATTGATGATGACACGGAGAAGAAAGTGAACAAGAAGAAGAAGAGGGTTGTGAAGGTTGGTGCCCACCATTTCATTGGGATTGAACCTGCTAAGCGCCCAAACAGAAACCTCTAGCCATCGCACCTGATATCATAGATACAGCAGCCGATGAAGAAGGCTATTATCAAATTATCCTTGGAGAGTACCTGGATGGTGGTCGTTATCAAGTCTTTGCAATGATTGGAAAGGGAATGTTCTCAAATGTCGTCAAGGCCCGTGAATTCGATCCGGCTGTGGACAAGGACAAGCCGTTGGGGGAAGTCGCAATCAAAATCGTTCGTTCACAGGAGAGCATGTGAGTTAGCAGAGAGCTTTTGATAAGAACATTGAGCTGATTTGGTCCCAGGTACAAGGCAGGCCAAAAGGAAGCACAAATCTTGCAAAAACTGAGGCAGGGAGACCCTGATGATAAGAAGCATTTAATCAAACTGGAACGTACATTTGAGCACCGTGGCCATCTATGTCTCGTATTCGAATCGCTGAGGTATGTCTATTTTACTCTTGTCCAGATAATTCTCTGATGTATCATGCAAAGTATGAATCTCCGTGATACTGTCAAGAAATATGGACGCGATGTTGGTCTCCATCTTAAAGCCGTCAGGGTATATGCCCACCAACTCTTCCTTGCGCTTACGTTGCTCCGTAAATGCAATATTCTTCATGCGGACATCAAGCCCGATAACATCCTCATCAATGAATCGCGTTCAAACCTGAAACTCTGCGACCTGGGTTCGGCAGCGGACATTTCGTACGAGAATACCGCGATGGCTATTACCCCCTACCTGGTATCGCGATTCTACAGAGCTCCAGAGATCATACTCGGCATGCCCTATGACTATGCCGTCGACGTTTGGAGTATGGGTTGTACTCTTTACGAATTGTTCACCGGCCGTATCCTTTTCCCAGGGCGCTCTAACCGTGAGATGCTCAAGTTGATGATGGAGGTGAAGGGCCGCTTCAACCAAAAACTCGTAAAGAAAGCCAAATTTGCTGACGTCTACTTTGACGAGGGCGGTGCATTTTGGGATATCATTGAAGGTGGCGGGGTGGTATGTACCTTCCGGAAGTGATAAGTCCAACACTGATATTGGTTCTATAGGACATGTCCAAGAAGCTCCATTTTACAAAGGCTACGAAAGATTTGCGATCCCGGTTATTGCCCCGTTCGAAGGTAGATACAAACGATGTCGTAGCTGCGGGAGAAGAGAAGGACCTTTCATCCTTTATAGATTTGCTAGAAAAGTGCCTGTTGCTGGATCCGACGAGGCGCATCACGCCAAAAGAAGCGCTGCTTCATCCGTTTATCAGGGGAGGATGAGATTCTTTGTTACAAACAATAGAGGTATTCATACTAAAGTGTACGCAATCATTCCTACATTACAATGAATATTGATTCCTTTAGTTCAAAATTGAGCGTATAAGCTTTAAGCCTCCTTTGATTCGACCAGCGTGCCTCTATGCCAAACTACGAGGGGTAAGCAGGGAGTGGCGTTCCTTTGCCTCTATTGCGCAATGCGTTCTGCTCTAATGATTTCTCCTTAGTATCGTACACGTGCCAGAGGGGGTATTCCTTGGCCTTATTGGGTGTTACGCTCTCGTATGCCGTCCCTTGGGATGGCAATACTGGAGCCGGCTCGTTAGGCGCTGCTCGACGTCTTCCCCATGCAAAACGTGTTCGACCATAAAGGCGTGGATTCATTGTTTCTGCCTCTGTTACTGATAATCAGCATTCCTGGGAGTAATACAGAAGCTAGAAGGTCCCATACCTTTATCTGCCTTTTGAACCCACTCATCAAGGGTTTCTTTGGGCCACCCGGCTTTCATCAAGACTGGAATTGCTCCTCGGTATAATTTCTGTGAACAAAGTCAACTCTCGAAACCATGATTCCAAGGAATTCTGGTTTACCATCAAGTCCAACCGAAGGAGCTCTCCCCCAACCTTGAGCTTTTCGGAAATAAATTCATCCTCATCTAGGAAACTAGGTTATTAAAGGCCGGTGGGAGGCCAAAGGTACGTACCATCCTTCCATGGTCCTGAAAAAAAATTATACGGGTCAACCTGATGATACACTGAAATATTATGGCACTGCTTACCAACTGCCCAGTAGAGACTACCATTCTTACAACTGATACGGTGTTAGCTGTGCTGCTGTGGTCACTGCGAAGGACGTACGTAGCAGGATCTATCAAGGGACTATCCCAGAGTCCCTCTTCGATAGTAATTGCCGTGCCCTTCAAGTCACCCCCGAAATTTCCAATGGCTCGGAAAACCTCTAAAGGTCAGTGGTCAATTAATGTTGCACATAATTCTGTAGGAGGCACCTACCTGCGATGATCCGGGTGAGCCACGAGCCATTAGGATTCGATTCAGTGGCCACGGGCTGATACTGATTCGGTTCATCGACATAAAAGTCGAAATCTGCGTCCGTGCACAAGAGGAACCCGCCCGGCTTGAGACACTTTTGCATATCCTCCAACGACGCCTTATAGCTCCTTAACCCACTTCCGATCAACCTTGCGTGGACAAAGTCGTACTGGTCGTAGTACTCGTCAAGCCCGCGGTTAATGTCTCCGATCTTGAAGTGGCAGTTAGCCGGAATGCGAGCCGGGTCGCTCGGACATGGCGCAAGGTCGATTCCGGTCACTTGAGC